TCTCCATATTATTGCAGTCATTAGTGAGGTCCAGAATGGAAACGCCAGAATTTAAGGCCAGGGTGGAAGTGGCAGCAACCGCGCTGGCCGTCCTTGGCCTCTTCGACGACGGTGCTAGTGGAACAAAGTTTTGGCCGGTCAAAGACAAAATGTAATGTGGACCCAGTCCTTCCTCTTCTTCATCAAAATTCATGTCGGAATCTGCAGATAAAAACAAGGTTATAACAGTAAAGAGAAAAACGATCGAAATAGCAAAGGTTTAATAGCATAAAAGTATACTGGTGGGTTCTGGGTTGGAATGAGATTTGGCGACTAAAGAGGCTGCGCTCAGATGACCCTTGGAACCCACATGGGCCAATAAAGCTTTAGCATTGGCTTTATCTTCTCGTGATAAACTCAGCTTGAAATCGGCAGGTCTGCGAAGGTGATGATCCTGAGACCAATAGAGGGGAAAGATAGGTTCCCAATCTTCACCAATGAACCACGACTTCTCCCCCACCTCGTCCATCACCTTAAAGAAATAGGCTTTGAAGCCCTTGAAAGAGTCGCTGTATACGGAAAACAGCTTCCGAGGGGGTTTACTAGACCGACCTCGAATGCTACTCCACCCCTTAAGTTTAGGAGGCTCCGATCCGATTCGCGGGGTATAAATGGTAAAAAAGTACATGAACAAAGGGACAGTGCATGGCAAGGACAAAGAGTGGCACAACTGTTCAAAAGCAACAATGTAAGCCCAACCATTGGGGTGAATCTGGGTTGGCGCAAGAAGAAGGTGATTTAAAACTGACCGGGTTGCCAATTGGAAGCCCGGATACCTCCTCAGTGGACATCTCGGACGCAAATCTCAAAACTTCCTCTGTAACCCATGGATATTGAGTGCAGAGATCGCTGGTCACGGAGGCAGAACCCTTCTCAGTTGGATTCACCTCGGCTTCCTGGGCTCGACTGGTGGAGGTTGTGTCCGTGTTTAATTCTGTAGAAGGGGACTCCATAAATACCTAGAGCAGTAAAATGGGAGGATTAAAAAGTAAGAAAAGCACGTAACCAAGATACGTACCCGAACTAAACAAACTAGAATTGGAAGAGCTGGAACCGTCGGACCCGACAACAAGAGCAGGGGTTGAGAATCCTGGAAAATGCGAGCAGCTGCCCAAAACTAGGTCGGCCATGAAGTCATTTCCTTTTTCGACAAACTGGGCACTAAGATAGACACAATTGAAACAAGGCTCTGGATTTCTAACACAGGGGACATAAGACACTCCTGGGTTCGAAGTAGAAGGAACGAGGGTAAAGATGGTATCCGGGGTGGAAGATGAAGGGCGAGAAGAGTTAACTTGCCTGGCCGAATTGCCTAGGTTACGATAATGGCCCCGACTTTGGCCTCGGATTGACAGGCGAGATGAGACCCGCCTTCCTCGAAGACCCTTTCCACGACCACGGATGGGAGGGGAAGACGAGGAGGCCCCTCTACTTTCACTACCTCGGTAGCTGCCCAGTAAAGCAGCTTGAGTCTCCTCCTCGGTTCGAGGCTTGCCATACAGCCAGAACCTAGGACCAGGAGATAAACTCTGGATGAACCTTTCCTCTTCTGTTGCAAGCCGTTCCTTCTCCTCGGCGTCAATCTCATCGATACGGCCAAACACGCGAGGGCAGGTGGGTTTTGATTGAACAGTAAAATTCCTCTCATCCATACCAGGAAGAGTTTCAAGAAAGAACACGCAGGAAATGACCTGGCAGCAGTAAATCTTATACACGCAACAGAAACCAAATGCGAAAAGCTTAGTCAGACAGAAGCAAAATGACATGATATGGACTCAAATTGCCACATGCAAATAAATACGGAAGATGTGCAAATGGACACAAAGTAAATAAAAAGCATCACAGAGCCAAAACTCACAATCAAAGCCGAAAATAAAGAAAGAATAAGCCAAAGAGGAAGAAGATGTTATGAGATTACCTATGAAGAGTAGCCTTAAGTAAAAGGGAAGATGAAGAACGTCACGAAGAAACAAGGTAAACAGGGGTGAGTGGCTCTGAGCAGTGTGTTTCTGAATGATGGAAGTGGCAAGAAACGCAAGTGAAATCAAAAGGTTAGGACCCACGAAAACCAAAAGGCAAGGGCAATAAGGTCATTTCAGAACAGACAGGACAACTGAGGGACGTTGCTTCAGAGGCAATAAATGCTAAAACGGCGAAGAACGCACGATATCACACGTTGCGTTTGTTGAAGGAGTATACGTGGAAAAAAACAATCATCACGTGGAAGAGAAACTGTTCCTCACATTTCAGCAATCATTAGTCAGCAGCCAACGCAATTGTTCCCTGCACGCTGCACCTTGTTAACAATTTGTGCTTTGAAGTTCGGTAACCGGGATTGAAGGTTTGAATCACGGCAAGACAACCCGAATGTAATACAAGAGAAGTTCGAAATTCGGATCGTTTCATAAGCTCGGCTTATAAGCCGCTACACGAAGCAATAAAACGGCCAGGTGATCAACGTTTGGGTCGGAAAGCACATACAACAGCCCGACTTGGACATCCCGGCACCCTGAAGACTCAGTCTACCGGGCTGGGGGGCAACTGTTATGGACCTGGGAAGGGCCCATGTCGGCATGAAGCCCAATCAATACAAGCCCAAAGGTAAGCTCTATAAATAGGAGCTAAAGACCACATGTATGACTGATCTCTCTAACCCTATTTTATGCAATCATGACAGTGCACACACACACACCTTCAGGCTACGGCCATCATATAGTGTGTAGTGATTCGCTGTCCCCCAAATACCTAATTCATAGGTATCTAGAGAGAAAGCCCTAGATCCAACAATAAAGACCCGACCTACGGTCGGACACATCTGCACAAGGCAGAACAGGAGCCAACCCGTCGGGTTGGCTCGTAATCCGTCAAAAAATGAGTTAGGTTGGTTTGGTAAAAATGAGCTGCCAACTCGGGAAAAAATGAGCCAACCTGGGGGTCAAACAGCTTGGCTTGCGGGTTGAGTTTTTTTTAATAAAAAATACAAAATATAATATACAAATATGGACAAAATTCAAACATGCTGTCATCGTCTTTCTTCCTTCTCTAAACCTAAGTCCCTAATCTTCTTACATCACTGTCATTTTTGTATTGTTAGGTTGTGCTGGCTCTATTTGGTTCAAATATCTTACCCACTTAGTAGCAAGTGATTCTAATTGTTTCTCGATGTTGGTGCAAATTTGTTGTGAAGAAAATTCGAAACTAAAATATTTTGCATTTACTCCTCATTATGTAACCCTTTGTTTAAGCTGATGGAAGCCACATGGTTGGAGCATTAATACTACATGTTCATTTAAATAGGATGAAAATGAGCCAACCCGCGAGCTATTTTTTCAAACAAACCCATGAGTCATATTTTTGACCCAACTCGCAAGCCAACCCTAACCTGACTCGGGTGGAGTTAGGTTGAGTTTTCTGACTCGTTTTATTTTTTGAGCCAACCCTAACCTCGCTTGTTTTTTTCGAGATGCACGTGGGTTGGGCCAAGTCAAGTTGGGTTAGCCCGTTTTGCTAACCTTACTCCCGTGGGACAACTTTGAATATTTTTTTTTACAAGTTGTGGCAAAGCTTGGATGGACTTACAATAATACGGTGTGATTAGGTGGACAAGATTGTAACACGTGACACTGTTCTATAAATGTTCACTTGATTTTGTTTTTCAGGGATGTTTGATAAAGAAGAATGAATTTATCAGAAATATTACCAAAAAGTTATTTAGAAGGCCAAAATGTTATTGAGATTTTTGTTATAATTTTCACATCTAATTTTTTATTTTCCTAAAAGAGTGAGAATATCGCCCTCTGGGTGGTATTTTGATTTACATTTTACACATAAAATAAAATCCAAGGAAAATGAACTTTCAAGGAAATTTTTTAGAAAATTATTATCAAACATGAATAAATTGAATTACCACTCGCACTTTTATGGGAATCTAAAAATAAACCCTTTATCAAACACCACATCACACTCAGTTTTTTTAAATAAAAAAGAAAAAAAATGATTGGTTGTGACATTGACTCTCCCCCAATTAAAATTTTATTAGAACTAGTGTTTAAAAATCCGACCCGGCCGAGATCAAGGGTCATGGAGTCACGGGTTCAACGGGAGGTCACAGGATCACTATGCTGACCCGATTTTATATATTAAAAAAATATAAATATATATATCATATATAAAAATATTAAAAAATAAACCACCAATCATCAAAGATTCAAAATATACTTAACATATATCATTAATTACAACCACAAGTCAATATTACACAACCTAATTAAAGTATTAAGATTCCAAAGTACAAAACTTATATTCTAATGAGATCAATACGCTGACTCGGTTCTGCCCTCTTTGGAGAAGGTCCCTGACAAAGGAAAATTTAAAGGAAGTAAGAATGAGTTTTTGTTTTCCATCGACGACTGTAAGAATTTCATTTGAATAGATAAAATTCTTACCTTTTCTAGAAGATTCATGCCTGCGAGGTGAAGACTGAAGACAAATAGGTCACTGGGAGAGAAGAGAACAATTAGATTTAGGTTTGCAAGCATTTTTATTTTTTATTTTTTTAATAAAACGAGGTTGTTTCATGGAATTAAAAAAAAAATATAGTGACCCCTATAATTCGGGAGTCACTAAAATCCGATTAAGTTTTGGGGGTCAGAGGGGTCGATGTACATATAGGATCCAACTTGTGAGCTCAACTCTCAAAAGGGAGGGGTGAGGATTAACCCCAATTAACTCGGATCAACCGGAGGCAGGATAGGATTTTAAAACACTGGTTACAACTCTAATACCCCTTATAAAAATATTAAAATGGTCAATGAGTCCACAAAGTGCACTTAATTACACGTAATACATTTTGATGCCTATTTATCTATGGTTCGTGGAGTCATAGTTGTTACAAAACTCGGGTTTGTTGTCATTAGCCCCGGCTTACTACTGGTTGGCGATTCAGACACTTTTCCGCAGACATGGCAAGATACCAAATTTTTGCTTTTGCTTTTGTTGTTGTTTTCCTTTTGACTTCGTTTGCAGTTTTATGTTCCTGTGGCCATCCATCCGTTACCTGCATGGAAGAAGAGAGGCAAGCTCTTCTCAAGCTCAAAGGAAGCTTCCAAGATCAATCATTCAGGCTTTCCTCTTGGGAAGGAAATGATTGTTGTCAATGGAAAGGTATAGGTTGTAGCAACTTTACAGGACATGTTGTTAAGCTTGACCTTAGGAATCCTTGTTACCCACCTAAAGACCAAGATTTTCAATCAAACTGTTCCTTCTCCAAAAATAAGCTTGTAGCACAACATTTTCATCCTTCTCTGTCACAGTTCAAATATCTCAATTATTTGGACTTGAGTGGAAACAGTTTTAATGATAGCCCTATACCAATGTTCATCCATTCTTTGAAGCAGTTGCAATTCCTTTCTCTCTCTGATGCCCATTTGAGTGGGAGGATCCCGAACAATCTTGGGAACCTGACAAAATTGTCCCTTCTTGATCTCAGCTTCAATTCTCTTTTATATTCTGATGACATCTATTGGGTTTCAAAACTTTCATCTCTCCAAAACCTTTACATGACTGATGTATATCTGGGGAAGGCTCAAAATTTATTCCAGGTACTTCACATGCTTCCTTCTTTGTTACAATTAGACTTGATGAATTGCAGCATTAGCAAGGTGCACAGTCATCCTCAACTTGTCAGTTCCACAAATCTTTCTAGACTTCAAGTCCTCAATCTCGCAGAGAATGGACTTGAAGCTCCACATCTTGATTTTTTTATAAACATGACTTCCATTCAAACTATTTTCCTTTCTGACAACAACCTGAGTTCAGTTCCATCTGCTTTTCAAAATCTGACTTCCTTGACAATACTTGACCTTTCCCAAAACAATATTGGTTCTGTGCCGTCGTGGTTAGGTGGAATGAAGGGTCTTCTGTCCCTCAATATTTCAGGGAATCATGTAAATCATATCGAGGGTTCTCTAATATCAATGTTGGGAAATCTTTGTCATCTTCTATTGCTAGATATGTCAGGAAACAAGATTCAAGGAGATGCACTCGTTGGCTATTTACAATCTGGCTGCATTAGGTATGATTTAGAGGAACTGGATTTGAGTAACAATGAATTCAATGGTTCGTTGCCAACATGGTTGGGTAAATTTGAAAATCTACTTGTCCTGGCTCTTGAGTCCAATTTATTCTATGGTTCTATTCCACCATCTTTTGGAAAATTGTCGAACTTGGAATATCTGAACATTGCTGAAAATCGTTTGAATGGATCTATTCCAGACTCTATAGGACAACTGAAAAATCTAACTCAATTAGATATTTCTAATAATAAGTTGGTTGGGGTTCTTCCTTGTAGTATAACAACCCTTGTCAGTCTAGAGTATTTGCTTCTTAACAATAATAACTTGACAGGGTCTCTTCCTAATTGTATTGGACAACTTGTCAATCTAAAGACCTTACTTCTTTCTTCTAATCATTTTCATGGTGTTATTCCTAGGAGTATTGAGCAACTTGTAAGCCTAGAAAACCTCGATCTTTCAAGAAACCCTCTGAATGGTACAATTCCTGAATATCTTGGCCAACTTTCAAAGTTGAGCACCCTGTATCTTAGTCAAAATAATTTACATGGGAACATTCCACATAGTCTTGGTCAACTTCTGAATCTGGTCAACTTAGACATGTCTCTCAATAATTTGGAGGGTATGATTTCTGAAATAAGATTTCCTAAGAAACTGGTTTACTTGAACCTCACCAATAACCATATCACTGGGTCTATTCCACAAAACATTGCTGATAGATTGCCCAATGTTTCTCAGTTGCTTCTTGGAGATAACCTTCTAAATGATTCCATTCCAAATTCTTTGTGCAAAATAAACTCCTTGTACAATCTTGACCTTTCGGGCAACATATTATTTGGCAAAATTCCCAATTGTTGGAGTTCTACTCAAAGATTGAATGGGATAAATTTGTCCTCCAACAAATTATCTGGTGTTATTCCAAGCTCATTTGGTAATCTTTCCACTTTGGTATGGTTGCATTTGAACAATAACAGTCTTCAGGGGGAGTTTCCATCTTTTTTGAGAAACTTAAAGCAACTGTTAATTTTAGATCTTGGAGAGAATCAAATGTCAGGGATTATACCTTCATGGATAGGGGACATCTTTTCCTCATTGCATATCCTCAGGCTACGACTGAATAAGTTCCACGGAAACATTCCTTCACAAATATGCCAACTTCCTGCAATGCAAATATTGGACCTTTCCAACAACATGTTGAGGGGTACAATCCCTCAGTGCATTGGAAATCTCACAGGAATGATATTAGGAAAGCAACCTGCTGTTGTCCTTACTCCTGGAGAGCCAAGGTTCTTTGAATGGTATGAACAAGCTGTCAGACAGATCATAAAAGGAACAGAACTTGAATATACCAGAAATTTAAAACTGGTAGCCAACATGGACTTGTCAAATAACAGTTTGAGTGGATCTATCCCTGAAGGAATAACTCTTCTTACAGCATTGCAAGGCCTAAACCTTTCACACAATCATCTGTCAGGAGAAATTCCTACAAGGATAGGGGACTTGAAGTCACTGGAATCTTTTGATGTCTCTCATGATCAACTTTCAGGCACAATTCCAAATGACATGTCTCGTTTAACTTTTCTAAGTCACTTAAACTTGTCCTACAACAACCTTTCTGGACCGATTCCACAAGGAAATCAATTTTCAACCCTTGATGATTCATTTATTTATGTTGGCAACCCATTTCTCTGTGGGGCTCCACTGTCAAAACCTTGTGATGCTGGTAAAGATGAGACAAATGGCAATGGAGATGAAGATGAAGATGACAAACAGGATCGGTCAGAGAAATTCTGGTTTTACTTTGTCATAGCAGTTGGATTTGCTTGTGGGTTTTGGAATGTGGTTGGAATTTTATTGTTGAAGAAGAAATGGAGGCAAGCTTACTTTGGATACATTGATGAGGCAGTGCAGAGGATACGTGTAAAAATTGCAGTAGAGTTAGCAAGGTTGAGGAAAAGGTGTGTGGGAAACCCTGTTGATTAATGACTCATTGTCTTTATACATATTGTGTGTCTGTTTTATGCCCCTGTGAATATTTCAAGTTTGTTTTGCTTGCTCATAAATTGCTTCACTTCTAATCTAAGTGAAAGCTAGTAATGCTACTTGTAGTAATGCTTTGTTTGTGGTCGATTCTCAGTATATATATTAGTTCTTGAATTAAAGCTTATTTTAGCATGATTTGCTTCTTCTTCCTAACCCTGAAGCACAATCCACTCACAGTGCCATAAACTTACCTGCACTCATAAATTCGTTTTATTATCTGCATATCGTCAAGGCCATCGCCCATACAAATTCGCTTCTTATTATATTCTAAAATAATGATATTTATTATTAACTAATGCTTATAGTAAACTCTTTTTTTAATCAATAAAATTTTTAACATGGGTGAAAAATTTAACGCTTTGATTTTTTTAGTAAATACTAGTTAAATAAGACTTTGTATAGCCCTATAGTTTTTTTTTTTCCTGTAAAAAATCAAGTAATGCTAGAATTTTAAATAATTGTTAGTAATTCAATTTTTTTAATACAATTTTATACATTTTTTCATTTTTAAAATATAAAGGGATGTTCATAATTATAAAAGTTAAAAAATTAGTTATGATTTTATAATCAGTAAAAATCTAATTGAAGAGTTAGTTAAATTATTAAAAAAATTAGAAACATGAAAATCGTATTAAATTTTTTTCAATTATAATCTATTTTTAATTAATACACTTATAGTTAACTCATTGCATATGGTACAACCAATTATATTGATTGGAGAAGTTTGGAGTCAAATATAATTATTGCCCATTAAGTATGGCTCGTGTGTTCAAAGAAATAATTTGAAATCTAACATATTACAACCAAATCCAAATTCAAATGAAGCAACAAATAAGATTTTAATTTGTTCTGAAAAAAAAAACAACAAATTTCGTATGATTTGAAATATGTTTTGAATGATTAAATTTTAATTAATTATCTTCATTTTTTGAAGTTTTCTTTATTTTTAAGAGGCAAATATTGTTATCTTTATTTTTATTTATTTTTCTTATTTTTAAGAATTTAAATTTTGAATTGATTTGTAATTGAGGGTGTTCTAATTCAATTTATCCTTGATTATAGAACTTTAAAGTGATTTTGGGACGAAAAATATTCTGTCTCTAATTGGACAAATTTAGAGATGAAAAAAATAACTCGTCTCTATTTGAGACAGAATTAGCGATGAAATAAGTTATATCTTTAATAAGGACGAATTTTGAGATAGAAAAATATTTTGTTCCTATTTGGAATGGATTTAGGGACGGAATATTGTCCGTCCTCGTTTATAACATAATTAGGGAAGGAATATTTTTCCTTTCTAAAATTTGTCTCTAAATCCATCCCTAATATGGATGGATAATCTGTCCCTATCTCGGATGAAAAATAATCTATCCCTAATTGAGACGGAATTAATAACTTCCTTTTGCATTTTAGTGGAGTTATTGTTTATGAAAAAACACAAACTCATTGGTTGTCATGTTTTATAAGATAGATTATAATAATTAATTGTCATGTCAAGGCAAAAACATGAAAACTTTGAGTTGTTTAGCTAGCAATCATTAACCATGTTCCCCTAACATATTTGATTAATTTTTGTTGTTTTTGAAGGTAAAGTGAGTTGAAAAAGAGCAATGATGAATCTAAAGGGACTTGGAGAGTAAGTAAAAAGGAGCGAATCAACCACTTAGGTTATTAAAAGAGTGCCCTAAAGCACTAATCAGCGCAGTAAAATGAGAATTTTCTTCCAAAAGAGCATGCTCCAACACACAAAATTGCTCAGCTTTTTATGCTTCAGAGCCAAATACGAGTCAAAGACAAGATTAAGCTGAAATTCTTGAAGATTCAGTACACCTTCATATCAATGGAGTTTGAGAAATTTCTTATCAATTATTGTATTTTTGTTTTTACTATGCCTAACTAGTTTTCTTTGTTGTCAAAGTAATAATAAAGACCTAAGCAATGCATATTATTAATTAATTATAACTTATTATTATGTAAAAAATCACAAATTTATAATTAGCACATAATTATAAAATTTATAGTTAATAATGATAGTAATAAAATAAATAGAGTAATTACCATAATTATTAAAAAAAATAAATTATTTATCAGAGTATCTTGAAATTAATTTATTAATCTTTTTTGTTATACATTTTACATATGTGGAATAAATACAAGGCCTTGCAAATATTGCTAACTCGTGTCAAGGAGTCTTTGTATATGAGTATAATCGGCAAAAAAAATTTATTTATTGTAATTTAATTAAATAATTACGCAAATATCACAGTTTGAGAAATATTTACGCATCTATTGCACACTGTGACGCCCCACTGAGGCGTCTCTCATGAGGTGGTGACACGTGTCACTTGTTTTTCCAAACAAAAATTTAATTTAATCATAAAACTTCTAAAGGCCATAACTTTTGACTCGAGTATCCAAATCAAGTAATTCTTTTTTTGATTCAACATAACTTTTCGAGATCTACGCAATGACATCTCATTCGACATAATTTATTTCTCACAAACACAATTTTAATTTGCAAGAATGGTATTATAAGAGCGGTTAAACCCAAAAGCCTCTCAGTTCTGGATTTGTGATATAATAAAAAAAAATTTGATTTGTGATTTAAATTTTTTTTATAATCTTTTTCTTTATTATAACAAAATTTTGGTTTGTGATTTAAATTCAAAATAAAAAAATTATTATTATAAGGAAAACAAAATAAAGATTTGATTTGTGATTTAAACTCAAAAATCAATTTGAAAAATCTGTATTAGTAAGAGAAATAATTAAATAAATATTCTAAATATCTAAGGAAGAAGGATTACCTGATTTAAATTTAAATTATGTTGGTGAGAAATAAAATATATCAAATGAGATGTCATTGTGTAGATCTCGAAAAGTTATGTGGAATCAAAAAAAGAATTTCCTGATTTGTATACTCAAGTCAAAAGTTATGGCATTTAGAAATTTTATGATTAAATTAAATTTTTTTTTGGAAAAACAAGTGACACATGTCACCACCTCATGAGAGACGTCCCATTTGGGCGTCTTCCCCTTCATGAGAGACGCCCCAGTGGAGCGTCACATGTGACACCCAAAAGGGGCGTCACAGTGTGCAATCGATGCGTAAATATTCCCCATACTATCATATTTACGTAATTATTTAATTAAATTACAATAAATAAATTTTTTTTTGCCGAGTATAATCATATAAGAGAACAAGTCACCAATATATCCACCGAGAATCAAGAGTTGCAAACATGAGTGGTTGTTATGAAAGAGCAGCCCGGGATGCTGATAACTTGTGGTAATATCTCTATTGTGCAAATGCATAAACCCCATGCATGATACAATATATGTTAACTCATATGCACAATTTGAACACGTACACCCTCCACACAAGTAACACACCGACCACTCACAAGTGTTTTATAGGGTGTCATCCGAATACTAAAATGATTGTTGCTATTATACACAAATTCTATTAGAGATAGACATATCTATTTCGACTTTTTTTTTTTTTTTTCTTCTAGCACACAAACTCTAAATATATCTTTTGGAATTTGAATTATTATTGTCTGCCCATTTATTTGTGGATGATATATAATACTAAAATAAAGCATAATTCCAAATGTCTTCTATAAAGTTTCATAGAACCTAGAAGCGAACATAGTATCTCTATTTAAAATGTTGCTTAACGGTGTCCCATGTAATCTTACAATTTCCTTAATATACGTACAATTGAGCTTATTTCTATTATAGCGTTAATTTATATCAAAGCATGACGGTAAGGGAATTTTCATATTTAATCTGTACATTCTCATATGTATTTGTGGTGCACGATTGATGGCTGTATATTATTGTTCAAATTGGTATATTATGTTGGAAATCGACAATCACACAAATCGCAAATGAAAAGAGAAAAGAGGAGAGAGAATAGACACAGAGATTGACTCTGATTCACCCAATTTAGGCTACATCCAACTTGTCTGTACTATATTCACCTCACTGTCACTCGTTACAAGTCACTCGGTTTACAAAGATATTCACCTCCCCCGGACCCCCGTCCGCTCACCTGGGAGCGGGACCTCAGTTGCCTTTCTGCTGACTCCGACAACTAGGGGCTTCATCAGCATGCGAAGTATGAGCAATACCCAACATTCTCCCACTTGGTGAATGATTCGCATGTTTCTTCAATCCCAATGCAGCTGTACACCATTCAAACTTCTCTAAAGTCACTGCCTTGGTCGGAAAATCTGCATTGTTGACCTTTGTGTCAACCTTCTCTAGCAATACAACTTTGTCTTCAATCTTCTCTCTCATGAAGTGGTATTGTATGCCGATATGCTTGGTCCTCGCATGGAAACCTGGGTTCTTAGCCAAGAAAAATGGCGCTTTGACTGTCACACCCAACGATCATCTTTCCTTGTCAAAGCCAAGCTCTTTGCACAACCTCCGTAACCAAATAGCTTCCTTAACAGCATGTGACAAGGCCATGTACTCAGCCTTTATAGTAGATAATGCAACAGTGCTCTGCCTCTTACTCATCCAACTGATATCTCCGCCGAATGATGAAACAACATATCCACTTGTAGACCTTCTACTATCAAAGTCACCTCTCCAATCAGCATCCACAAAGCATCTCAATTCTAATAATGCCTGTCCCCTTGAGCCCTTCACGCCTTCATAGCATAACCCAAGGTCAGACGTACCACGAAGATAGTGGAACACACGCTTCACAGCCGTCCAATGCTCCTTTCCTGGCTTGGACATATACCTGCTCAATACTCCCACTGCTTGAGCAATATCAGTTCGAGTACAAATCATCGCATACATCAGACTCCCAACTGCACTAGCATAAGAAACTGACGCCATCTCTTTTTCTTCTTCAGTCTTGGGACACTGGTCAGCCGATAACTTAGAACCAGTAGACATGGGAGTCAACACAAGCTTGCAGTCAGTCATATTGAATTTCTTCAGAACATCCTCTATATACTTCTGCTGACTTAACCATAATCTTCCTTTGTCACGCTCCCTCTTAATCTGCATACCCAAGATCACATTTGCAGCGCCTAAATCTTTCATTTCAAACTGC